AAAAGATTCTTTCATTCTAAATTTTTTTGCATTTTCATATATGGTTTACACGATTCACACGGAGGATGATGATTGACTTCCTCGAGACGCTCGACATCCCCGTGCTATGGAACCTTCAAGAACAGAGCGATCATAAAATCCCAAGAGGGTTTTTTGGAACTCACCTTGCTCCGCTCCGATCCCCCTCCCTAATGCTCCGCTCTACCATGACGTCGCTCCCCAACCTGAGGATCCATCTTTTGCAGCCGCCGCATGTGTCCTCGTTCCATGGAGAAGCTCTCGATGGATGTGGCTATTGAGATTGCTAGCCGCGTCACTGTGGCTGTAGTGGATCCCATGGAAGATCTTGGCAGCCTGCGGGCAACCTGTTCGAAGATACGTAGGGTTTGTGGCGACGCCATAGTGGGACAGAGCATACTACTATGGTGGGTGCTGATGCGTGGGATACAACTTAGGATCTAGAACCAGTTCTATGACCATGAGTACCACGCCAAGCTCATCGCCAGGCTTGCTAGCATTGGCAACCCAGAGGCCTGCTTCTACGCTAGGATGCGCACCGTCTTCGTGGAAGACTGCAGCACGCTCATGCCGTGGCTCGACATGCTTGAGCGCTCTGCCACGGCAGGCCATGATGTTACTGCATTTATTCTCTCCCTTGTGCTCCACAGGTCCAATAGCGGTGCCGGCAACGACAACATTGCCCGGCGGTTGTTGTGGAAGGTCGAAGGTGATGAAGCGAGCCCGGCGATGAATGCGACATGGAAGAACGAGATATGTACACAGTGCCTCCAACATGCCATGTTCATGTTGTAGAACTTGGCTGGGCGGCCAATGTCGGGTGAGTCTAATCCTCTACCTCCTCTGGCCATGTCGGTACATCGCCAGGACGAACATCAGTGCAGAGGTAGAGGCGGAGGCTACGCCATCCATGCAGGATGGGAAGGTTGGGAGGAGTGGGCTATGTTCTATAGCAAGGAGTGTAGGATCCGCAATGAGTGTGATAGGTTCTTTAGATCAATGTGGTAGATTCTGTATAGATCAATGTTGATATGTATAATATTTGGATGACGGGGATTTGTATGATAAACTCTTCATTCTCCTTAATACAATGATACACAAGTATGATTCCTTTCTAAACTCGTTACAGTTACCTTCTTTCTCGAATGATGCAGCTCAGATTCCCTTGCACATGTTTCCAATTTCTTAATACAACTTATTCAAGTCATCTCCACTAATAAACATGAGCAGGGAAGTCAATAGTTAAGGTCCGTGACATCCACGGCCACCACACGGAGTCGCGGGCGACGGAGCAGGGAAGACGACATGGACCATTTGATTCCCTACACTTTGCAATCTAACACTAACGTTGAATCACTGTATGAAACGGCGATGAGAGCTACAATAATAAAAATTTGCAAACACGGCAAACCAATTTGCAAATAAACCAAGGCAAATACTTCCATCCCAGCACCATCTCAGTGAGGTGCTTTATCTCACGTCTGTGTAGCCAAGGCAAATACTACGACACTTCAAAAAATGGAGTAACAAGCATCACAACCATTCAGTTATTAATTGTTTTTAAGGCAAAAACTATATATAAATGACACAGTAACAATCATCACAGCAATTTTATTGATAACTTCAGTTACATTCCACAGATGTACAATAACAAAGACCTATCGAAGACTATTGGGTGTACAATAACAAAGACTTGTCAAGTATAGGTACATCCCATAGTCGAGTTGGAGACAGGCAGTGCAAGCTAAGGACAAGGCAGCACCACGCAAAACTTCCACAGCATCTCAGTGAGGTGCTTTACCTTCCCTACTACTGCACCTCTCATGGTCGCAAGCGCAAGAGAGATAGAGGAAAGAAGAGGAGCATCTCAGTGAGGTGCTCTACCTTCCCTGGTGCACCTCTCATGGTCATGAGCGCGAGGGAGATAGAGGAATTGAAGAAGAGGAGGCAGCCAGGCAGGGAAGAGAAGCGTCGCCATCGTTGCTGCTGCTCTAGAGGAAGGTGGATCACTAGGGCACCGGATGGTGAATCAGCACAAGAAATGCGTAGGGCAGACCAGGGATACCAAAGTGCATTGAATACCCCTTGGCTTGCCCAAATAAGCGAACCCCGTTAATCGCAAAACTTCCACTAGCACCTAGATCGAGCAGTCCCCGCTGCGCCTAGATGCCGGTAGTACCCAATCTTGAAGGCCTTCTCCCAACACCGCTGCTGCAGCCGTAGGAGTTGGAGAAGGAGTGCCATGGCGATGAAGAAAATATAGCTGGTTGTCTCAAGAGCTTTATCTATATCTAATTGTATCTACTCCGTAAGGCGGAAGGAGTGTGTGGATTGCCAAGGAGCGCATCCAGCCCTGGCTTAAATAGGCCAACCTTGAAGATGAAGAAGCAGAGAGGAGAAGTTAATATAAGCATTAGGGAAGACGAGGCACACTTCATAGGAAAGTAATGGTGATACAACAGTGTTGTGGGTAGTTGGAAAATAGGAAAATAACTCACGCTAAATTTACTATTGCCGGTACACCAAATGGTCGTGTAGGGCTGGTGGCCATAACACCTATCCCAGTAGGCTCGGCATTCCAAACAATAGTGGAATTCAACCTCACTACCACCGCCGCATTGATGGTTTTCAACTGCCAGTTTCCTTCCTTAGGAGGCCTCCCTATCGGTCAAACCGATGATGGAAGTATCACACCGACGCTTTTATCGCTACAGCAGTGAAAGTGGCAATAGTGATAAGTCAATCTATAGTAGTGTATCCTTCTTCTCCTTCTCTTTCTTTCTTCTTCTCATCCTTATCGTTGTCACTATTATAGGGATAATCCACTACAACATGATCCTTGCTCTTGCACTTGTAGCATCTTCTCACATAATCTTTGTTCTTGAAATATTCTCTTCTCTTTCTTGCACCATAGCCCTTATTCTTCATAAATTTGCCAAACTTGCGCACAAAGAGAGACAAAGCTTAATCATCAATATCACTAGCTTGCTCATCATCACTTGATTCTTCTTTCTTAGCCTTGCTCTTGCTCTTGGATGATGATGTGGCCTTGAATGCTACACTCTTCTTCTTCTTGTCCTCTTCTTGGTCAACCCTCTCCCTTTCCACACGGTATGTTTCTTAAGTTATGACATCACCTAGTACATGGTTAGGGGTTACATCTTCCAATGCCAAAAGTCATATCTAGATCCATCACACTGCAAACAATTTGGTCAAAATCACCAAATTCACACTCATGCCGCCTAGGCCAAAAACATTATTCAAAGTTATACTCACCTTCATTCTTAGATAGATGTATAGAAGTAGCGGCCATCATATTCTTAATCGTCCACGCATTAGATCCATCACATTTTGTATGTTGTAGTAGAAGCAAACAATCAAAGGGAGCACCACCTTTTCTTTCTATCGAGCCGGCCTTGAAGAACTTGAGGTACCATCCATGGGCACTGCCCAATTGTCGACGGGATAGGCCAAATGGTAATAAAAATATTGAGAAACAATTAAGAGGGTGAGACAGATTCGGCCAAGAGGGGAGACAACAACGACTAACCTACCAAGAATCAGAGGCTAGGGTTCTATGCCTATGATTTGGGGGGCATGGATGTGGATGTTTGATGACCAAGAGCTAAAATGAGATGGGGCAAAGAAATATTAACAAAAGAGCTGGGAGTTCTTCTGTAAAATGTGTCAATAAAACGGTGGCAAATCTCTAGCCCTATCCAGCGGCAACCCATCTTGGCATGCCAGCTAGGAAGGATAGCGGACTGGGTATGTCGCCATTTGGACATGTACAATTGTACAGGCACCCGATACGAGTTGATGTACTCATAAATCAAAAAATGAAAATTTAGGACCAAAGTGACACCTTCCTACCAAGACCACCATTATATTTTACTCTTCTTGAAACGTATCCCTATTTCTTGTTTGGTGGAAACATATATATCCATCAACCTTGAACTGATAATTAATGAGTCTGTCTACACGGCACTTGAGTGTTCGATTTTTTTCTTCACGACTTCTTCTTTCTCAAGCCCGACGCGCCGCTGCCGCCCACCGCTCACATCCCCATCACGACACGGTAGGGTCTCACTGGAGCTTCACGGTCATGGCCAGCGAGACCCTACCGTGGCCGGCGAGACCCTACCGCCCCCGTGGCGGCCTCCTTCTCCCCCCTCCCCTCATAACCATCATGGCCATGTGGGCGCCCCCGCCTCGACCTGGCTCGGCCGCCTCTACCGCCGCCAGAACCCTAACGCCGCCCTCCTGCCGTCCCCACGGTCTGGGCGTCCTGCCTCCCCAAAGCCCCTTCTAATCCCGCCGGAGCTGGGGAAGAAGAGGAGAGGCCAGAGATGGAGAAGAATGAGAGGGAGAGGAATCGAGAGAGAGAGGAACACTCGATTGTTATTTAGCATTACTCTAATTAATTTCATGTTTTAGAAAGTACAACACAGATTGAGAACATAGGAATGTCAGCATGAACCACCCGTGGCCCACACTACTACACCTTACATATCGTCATCCAATGTGGTTTTTTGATGACCAAGAGCTAAAATGAGATGGGTAAAAGAAATTAACAAAAGAACAGGGATTTCTTCTGCAAAATGGGTCAACAAAACGGCAGCAAATCTCCAGCCCTATCTAGCAGGGAACCTTCTTGGCATGCCAGCTAGGAAGGATAGCGGACCAGGCATGCACCTGATTGGACCTGTGCAACCGTACTAGCACCTGATAGGAGTTGATGTACCCAGAAATAAAAAAAATGAAAATTTGAGACCTAAGTGTCACCATCCTATAACTTTAGAGACCACCAGTATATTTTACTCTTGTTGAAAAGTATCCGTATTTCTTATTTGGTGGAAACATATATTTTCATCCACCTAGAACAGATAATTAACTTCATGTTTTAGAACGTACAGCAAGATTGCGAACACTGAACACAGTAATGTCAGCATAAAACCACCCATGGCCTACACTACTACACCTTATATATCGTCGTCATTTAATGTGGCTTCTTGCATCCTCGGATCATGTCTGTAGACGTACCTCCACGAGCAGAGCAAGTAGAGAAAGAAGGATACGAGCCCAAACACGGCGAGGAGCCAGTAGAACAGATCGAGGCGGCTGGCATTGAGGTTCGCGCCGTCGAGCCAGCCATGGCCCCCACCACGGTGTGCGGTGGCGTGGTTGACCACCTGGATGAGGAAGCTCCCAAGCCACGACGAGACGCCAAGGATGCAGAAGACAATGGCACCACCGATGGACTTCATGCCGGCGGACGCCTCGCTGTAGAAGAACTCGAGCAGGCCGACGAAGGAGGTGACGTCCATGACGCCCAGGAGGAAGAACTGCGGGATCAGCCAGAACACGGACATCGGTGTGGCGGCCGCGGCCACGCCCCTGCGGCGGCGGCCCTCCACCACGGCGGCCACCGCGAGCGCCACGACGCTGAACACGAACCCGACACCCACGCGCTGCAGGTGCGTGACGCCGCCAGCGCGCCCCGTCACGCGGCGCAGCCACGGCACGATGGCGCGGTCGTAGGCGACCAGCGTGAGCATCTGGAAGACGATCGGGACGACGAAGAGGCTCGCCGCCGGGATGCTGATGGCCCCGAGGCGGGTGTCCATGGCCCCGCCCTGCTGCACGGTGAGGGAGAGGAGCAGCGGGATGGAGACGTTGCTGAGGATGGAGCTGAGGAAGATGGGCAGCATGCGGAGGATGATCTTGGCCTCTTCCACCTGCGTCACCGTGCACAGCGACCACGCCCGCTTGTCGCCGTCGTCCACCGCCGCCTTGTCCAGAAACCTTGAATAATGTAGAGTATGTGGCGATGAAAAGTTGGTCAAACTGTCACCACACCAACTGGGTATGTACACGACAAGATGTGATTATAATCACGACAACAAAGTTTGACGAAATGATCCACAGACAGAAGCTGGAAACAAATATCTAAAGAGTTTAATTTCCTTATAAAATTATCCAATGAGCACTATATTGCAAAATTATGTGTTTCCATTAATTCCTCCACATGTCTTATACTATTAATATGTATCCATATATTCATATTTCTGACATATTCGATACCAATCTACAAATATGTTTTTTCTTTATAACTAAATATTTTAAAATTTATAGTTATTAGTACTTGATAGCAAAATTTTTTAAAGCTTGACTATAATCACCCTGTTCGCTTGTTGGTTTCAGCCAGACTTATTCAACCAGTCAATAGTGTTTTCTTCTCAAAAAAACCAGCACCAGCCAGCCTAAATCAGCACCAGCACCAACCAGCGAACAGGGTGAATGATCCAAGTGGGCCGGGATAGCCCGCGAATCAACTTATGTAGACTTAATTATTACACATGCTGTGAGTTGCCCACAAAATCAAGTTTGTATACGTGGGTTTGTGGCTTAACCTGCTTTCATCTCTATATATCTTGTTCAAAATGTCAAATATTTACTGTCACCGGAGGAAAATTGCTTTCAGACGTCTCTTTCTGACACCTTAGTTTCACTTTCACACTTTTCACGACGTTCTGACCGAGAGTACTACTAGATCGAGTTACTTACTAACTTACAAATGAGAAGTGAACAAGACACCAGCTTATCTTACTTGAAGTCTGGGGTTCTCTCCATCAATTCAACACTCTTGCCCGTGCCATCAGTGAGCTCATGCATCTCCATTAGATTCTCAGGTATTGATAGCTTCCTCTTCCGAAACGCAGCTACGAAAACCTGCAACAAATGCCTAATAAAATCAGATAAATTATTCACTTCAAAATTTAATGATATGTTTTTGTTTCACAACAGATTTTATCAAGTTTCAGTTCAATACATGTTTTTGTTAGTTTAACAACAATTTCTCACTCGGTGGATGAACCTATGTACCTGAAGTATTCTTGTGAGGGGGCTCCCCATGGGCTTCTGGTGCCGGTAGAATGGCAAGCCAAAACCGACGACGACCATGCCGACGAACACCATGAGAGCAGCAAGCGCGAAGCTGAGTCCCCATCCCTCGTTGTCCTGCACCCACACCAAGAAGACGAGACCCACGAACCCTCCCAGCGAGATGGAGAAGGCGAACCAGTTGAAGTAGCTGATCTTGGCGTGCAGTTCCGCCGGGTTCTCACCGTCGAACTGATCGCCGCCCAGCGCTGCCGCACATGCGCGCATTGAGCCCTCGCCGACAGGGATCAGGTACAGGCCCAGGGTGAGCAAGCTCAAATTGCGGCCGCTTACCACAGTGCACTGGTTGGGGTGGTTGATCATGTCGCACGGCGGCGGGTGAAGCGACGGGAAGTGTGCTTGGCATGCTAGGAGCACGTAACCCTGCAACAGAAAAGAAAAACTCTTCTCAACTCACTGAGAGTCTGAGACCAATTCTCTCCGAATTTCTTTCTACGTTTTCGATCCATACATTTCAGCTCCCAATAGGATATTTGGAGAGATTTCAAAACTTTGACCAGAAGCTTGTCCAAAACTCTATGTATTTGTGACTGAACGGTACATTTGCCAAAATATATATATATGTATTTAACAAAAAGATGCAGGACATATATATATGTATTTAACAAAAAGATGCAGGACTAGGTACTCTATCTATTAGCAAATGATATATACTTACCATGATCTCAATGGGTGCGAAGATGAGGATGGTGTAGAAGCGCTTGATATAGGAATCCGAGATGAAGGCGCCAAGTAAGGAGAAGAAACAGATTGCACCAAAAAAGTTGGTGGAAGTGGTTGATGCGTCCTTGACACCCATGTGCATCGTCCCATGTAAGTAGCTCACTAGGTTCAATATCAGTGGTATATTTGATATATTTGCCATCACAATGAGGACTGTAGACACAGTTGAACATAGCATCAACCACTTATATACACAGTAAAAGAGTACACCTAATGATGCTGTTTATTTTACTTACCGTGGATGAACACGCTGGCTCTCACTCCACCATGCCTCTTTCCCGTAACAGGTTGTCCCTTCCAGTCCACAAGGCCTTGCAAAGCCATAGGTTCTGTTGTCACGTACTTGAGCTCCTCCCTATCTTTGCAAGCAACAAGTATGGCTTGAACTAGTGCTTTTTTATAGCTGTGGAAGATGGGCATCCCATCACATGATTTGTGGAAGCAAGCCGCCACACACCAAGTGGTCCAAGGTGTGTGCCAGTTTTTCTCTTGCGACACTGACTCGTATTTACTAAAATATATCTTTGTCAACAATCATATCATCACATATATGATAAATTTAGATACCTAGAGTGATAACTATGCCGTGTGTAGAGTAATACACAAGTTTTGTAATACCAAGATTATTATTACTCCATTTTTCCGATATAATATATTCGTGGGCCAGCCTACTCACACAGTAGGGGCATGGTGAAGTTTCCCTGTCCCTTTTTCCCGAATTCATATGTATTGTTGGGCCACTTGCTGATTTGTCAAATTTGCCACACAGCTAAAAGAATCATAATACTTACGCCAACGTACCAGATATTACCAGAACTTAAACTTAAATGTAAGTGTACACAAAATAATTTGTGTTTATAATTCATCACAGCTCATCATTGTTTTGAATCACGGAATAGACACAGACGCTCACACCATATACAAATACTCACTTCTATAAATTAATAATGCATACACACCCTAGCTACCCTTGAACCTCAAATTTAAAAGACTGGCCCCAAAGACCTTGGGATTAATGAATTTATACCACATATGTCATCATCATGTTCAATATATTTTTTTCATATACAATGCACAAGTGCATTTGGGCAGCCATGGCAATGAGTTGGCACATTTTTTTCCACCTTCCATTTGAATAGAAAATCTTGTTAAATAAAAGGATAACAACACGGAAGATGGAACAAAAGTTGAACTCGATGGACAAAACGGACAACATAAATTTCTTTAAATTAGTTTGCGCTTGTTTTCTATTTCTATTGTGTGACCAACTACCATGTACATTGTCAAGACAATGAATCAATGATCGTGTGATATATAACAGGATTTTGTTTATGTTCAGAAGAGCAAATAAACACCATATTAGATAAGCTGTCAATGCATTCACAGCTACCAGAACAATGGGAGTGTACTATTATAATTTAAATGTACCCTATTTAATTTCGCAAAAAAATATACCCTATTTAAAATGTAGTAAGATCTCAGGATATTGTCTTTTAATTGAAGAGTCTTTCTTAATTTTGTTTATTATTGAACTTGTCCTATGTTGTGGACGGAAAATATTTATTTTGACCTAGCATACCCTTGTGCTTATAGAATTTGATTGTTTTATTCCAGATAATGAACTAATTATTAAGTATGATTCTTCAAAAAAGTTATATTTATTAACACAAAAATAATTTTTGGTAGATTAAAACAAAAGGTGCAAATTCTTTATCTACTATCTACTATCTACTATATCTATTATCTATTATCTACTATCTATTATATCTAAGGCCCCGTTTGGCAGGGCTTCTCCACTGGCTTCAGGAGCCGTTTGGAGCCGTTTTCTATCAAACGGGGTAAAGTAAAATAGCTTCACTTGTGAAGCCCCTAAAAACATGCTCTCACAGTGATTTGGGGTGAGATGGAGCCAAAAAAAAAAATGGTTTCTCCCGGCTCCTCCTCTAGGCCCCTAAAAACATGCTCTCATAGGGAAGCCATTTTGCCAAACGGTTTACCAAAATCGCTTCAGCTCCACCGGTGGAACTGTTCGTGGAGCTGAAGGCAAAAAAAAAATGACTTCACTAGTGAAGTGAAGCCCTGTCAAACGGGGCCTAAATAGGAGAACCTCACTAGAGGATTTTTCCATTTCATGAAGCAAGTCATCTAGGGCCCACGACCACAATTTACTGCCCGATTAGTGGTTACAGCCGAAGCATCGCTTACCATGCGCTGATCGATCTACGGAATGTCAAGAGGCTGACCAAAGTCACTATAATTTCAGCCATGCGAACAGACGTTCGAACAACTTCCGCGAAGCGGATGCAGCGAGTTTATCTGTTTCCTCTTCCTTCACCGTCATATTTCACTGGCATTGACTAGGAGGTGACCACCAGCAGCGAAACTGCATCCACCGGTTCTCAAAAGGCCCATCGCTTTGGCTTCCCTTCCATCTATGTCCTCTCTCGTTTCCACAAACTATATAAGCAGGCTTTCTCCAGTGGCACAAGCACAAGACGGATGTATGCTTTCGAAGTCGATCCATCGCAAATATACAGACTGAATTTTTCTACCTACCAGGAAGATTCGAGCTTGAGCCACAGATATGCTCGACGAGGTAGCCCGTCGTCGCCGCTGCGAGCCCGTCATCGTCGTCGATCACCACGAGCCCGTCGCCGCTGCCGCCGGCTGTGTGCCTGTCACAGTAGGTCTAGATCGGCGGTAGTTGCTGCTGACTCGCAGGTGGAGAAGCACGGTGGCTGCTGGCCGGCTCGGGGCGAGGAGCGTGCCACTTGGGGAGGAAGAAGAAGAAGCAGCTGCGCTGCCGGTCTTGGAGAAGTGCCGCGGACGGACCGCCGAGTGACCCCATTTGGCCTGTGCGGAACTGGGGACGGAGGAAACGAAGCGGAGTCTTTGTCTAACATGATGTTTTTATTATTATTATTCTTTGTGTGGACCCAGCTGAAGGTGAAGTCGATTGTTTCTTTTCTGCCTGCTTGTAGCGTTCTCTCTTTGATGAATAATCCACTGCGGATCCTCTACTACACAAACAAGATGGTACAGTGTTTGCCTTCATGTGCAGAGCTCCAATAAAGCATACAAATCACCAAGCGTGCTCTCCTTCTTTGATACCCCTTCTTTTTCCTTTTGCATGATTCCAGTTTCCACACTATCTACAATTCATTTCATTACGCAAAGAGAGAGCACTAATGTTGTTTTCCGTCACCACATGCAGGACGTCGTCAACAATGCATGTAACGCTCGCACTACTACTACGTATATAAAATTAGAAATATATTTGGTTATTACAATAAGAAATCTCATTATTACTTATTACTCTAATAGCATGGTGATCCAACGGATGTATCTTCATGACTATGACTTATCCCTTTCTAGATGAATTATGTTTATTTCCATACCATACAAAACCATTACTATAATTTTCTTATGTATACTCACTTTGAAATTAGTTACACCATAATTGTTGAGACTTCCACACCAATCCAAAAGAACTATCTACAGATCTCTCTATAAAATCCCCGTAGCAATGCGGGGTATCATCTAGTTCTGTTTAAATTAATTGTACAAGAAACTTTGTCCCATCATGAGGTTGTTTCCTGTTCACTGGTGTTATTCTCTTCTCCGTGCCTCTAGGGGTGAGTTACTTATGGTATCAAACTATATCAAATTTTGGCTTGACAAAATTGGTAGTTTATTTCTCTAATTTTCTATTTTGAATCTCACTATTGGAGGCACCACTGTGGAAACAATTGTTAGACTCGGTCAAAAATAGTTTCCAGGGGCAGTTTCATGCCATCGATTGTAAATGAAAGGGCCGGGTGGATACCTAGAGGTGGTGAATAGACTACAAACATTTTCACAAGATTCTACCAAGGCAAGCATAACCAGTATTGCAAGCCGGCTTGGCCGGGTTTGACTATCGGACCAGGTCAAATGGAAAACACGGCTCAGTGGGTACCAATGTCTACTTAGCCAACTTTCCCTAAAGTCCTGTAGAAAACTAGTAGATCTCCTTCGCCTCTTTCATGTTAAACCAAACTTGTGTGGGACTTCTCGGTGAGTTCTTTGATATAGGTTCACATCCCTACAGTCACAAAAACACAAGATGTGCAATATAAGTAAAAATGTGAGGCAAACCAAAGGGTAGATGTAGTGATATATTTCCTAGAGTTCATATCCCCACTTGGATCATACGTCTCCGTTGTGGAAGCCGTGAGTGAACACTCCATGGGGGTTGCTCTCAACCACTTTCGATGATTCTACTAGATGACCTTTTCTCTTTCGAGGGCAAGATCATAACCCACACAAACTTGTTGTAGCAACCCACAATTGTGGATGCTTGTTGGCAATGCCTAGCCACCTAGGAGGCTTAACCTCCAAGAGTAAGAAACGCACCAACCAAAATATGGACTTGCTCAAGTGCTCAAAGATTTGACAGCTCACTCTTTGTCACACAAACTCTCTAATGCCTTTAAGATTCTGAGATAACAAGGCTCTCGACCCAAACTAAGGATTTCACTTTCTAATCACCTTACACCCACATATGGAGGTTTGGGAGGGAACCATTGGCTTTTTGGTCATGTATGGAATGTAAAGGGCATCAACAACCAACACAAAGGGGAAAGGGAGAGCAGTTTGTAGGTTTATCTAAAAAGCTAGCTATTGGAGACCGACTTAGCAAAAGCAGGCTAAGTCGGTTTCCTAAGTGAAAGCCCTAAGTTCGGTTGTGGTAACTGAGTGATAACTAGTGGACTAATGCTTTTAATGATTTGTGATTGAGCTAGGTTCCTCATGATGGTGATGAGCAAGGCTAGGAGGCGGTGGAAATTGAGATCATGTCATATGAAGCAAGTGCTCACCCATGAAGTGAATAACGAGATGAAAACAAGCCCGAAAGTAAAGGTATATGCTAGGGCCTTCCATTTCACCGGCCAAGATGCAACACAGTGCATGGTCAGGTTTAGGATAGATAGGTGTACTATTAAGAGGGAACTCTAAAGCAACTACGATTATCTAGTGCCACTAAATTTGAACTAACTTTACATATGCATTGTACCTAGTGACGTGGTGAGGAAGAAAGTGAAAATCCTTTGAAAAATATTTTTTGAAAAGCTAATTCAGTGACAGGCCTCAAGTGATGGTGTTCAAGATGGAACACATTTGGAGTTATTATATCTTAAAAGCATTTGAGAGATGAACTTGGTGCAATTTTTCTACACCCAATGGAAATATCCGGTTCCCTAGCTTGGGGTCACCAGGGAATAGGATAGGCCTTTAACACTGTTTGTGCCAATTGTTGTCTATTGTCGAGAAGTCACCAAAATCTCCGGTGGTGGGGGTTCGGTAGCACCACAGAACAGGTTTTGGAGGTTTTGGTAGCTAGGTTTGCTACCCAGGCCTTCAGTTGTGTGCTAGAGAAAGTGACTCAAAGGAGGACATGTGGTGATCACTACCTGTGCGCGAGGGAGATTTCAAACTGGTGCAACGCATTCTTCGGTGGCGGGCACTAGACTTATGCGATGACCCCCTAGAGTTCTCGGGTGATTCAAGACACCACTGGATGTATCCGGTGGTCCCCACCAAAGTACCACCGGAGCATGTGGTCTACTAGCCGTTAGCGGTTCAAAGACTACTTTCTAGGACAGAGGCTCTGCCGAGGCACAGGAATTCTCTTGTGATCATTCCACCTGCTGCACTCGAGAAATTCTTCTCTTCCATAGCGGAGTCGTCAAAAAGTGTGTTGACGCAGATTTGGATCACACACCAACAAGGTCTAGCACGCTCGAGGTCATACACAACCTAGATCGTAGCAAGAATGCGTTAAATCAGCAAAACCGACCAACAAACTGGTTAGGCCTATTTGACGCTTGTTTTTTGCCTACCTCCCGAGAAGACCCATCGGGAAGGGCACAACAAGGTTGTCCTAGGGTCGGCAAGGGTACCTAGAGAGAATTAGGACAAAAGTGTAGTAGATGTGTTTTTTGACGATTGAAAGTTGGATCTCTCAATCGGCTGAGAATCTCGTTTATATATGGGGGTTGGTCACCCCAATAGAAATTAACTCCAGGACGTGTCCCACATGTTCTCTATGTGAAAACACATTCCATAACTGAGTTGGAATCCAACCGGTTCTTAAACTGGCTTGCCCGGTTTTTGTGGTGCCAGGCTCTTCGGTTGAGCCATTGGTTACAGGTCAAGTTAGTTTGGGCAGGGTTGAGCCTTTTTTTTTTTGCTTGGGCTTTTATTCTTTCTGTGCTAAATATTTTTCTCCATTATCTTGACGTCAGGAACTTATTATTGAAGTCCATTCTCCTTGTTTAGCATATTTTGACCCTCAACAAATGGCTCATGCAAGATAAATAAAAACCTAAGCATGGACATCCTGAAGAGCGCGAAAAAATTCCCGTCTCCATGGGACCTTCACCTCTTAGTCGTAAATCTCAAATCCATCCATTAATCCAAAAAAAGAGAGAAATCATTCTCAAATAGTATAGCCTAAGACAACAACTATGCACGACCAGAGATGATTTTTGTTTGCTATAGGCTTCAAAAGCCCCCACTTGTGTGAAGGGGATTCATTAAAATTAAGGCCAGCTTGATTGCCTTGGAATCATGGCGGAGCCACCCTTGGGCTGGGGTGGGGCGGCTGCCCCAGCTACCGATGAGCTCACCGCAGACCCCAGACCCTTCTTCCCTAACACTGGCGTCCGGCGGCGAGGAACGGCGAGTACGAGCAGACAGCCGGCGGTATGGAGGAAGAAACCAGTGGATGGGCCTTTTCTACACTTTATTCAGCCCAGGCGTCCACAAAGATGAGCGGCCCATTGAAAGCCCACCGTCGCACACTCCTCCTTTCCCTTAGCCCAATCGGTGGATTCGTTCATTCCCCAATTTCTGAGTCATCGATGACTGACGCGGCGACACCCTCGGTGAGAGCAAAAGCACCACAACCCACCGCCACTTGGCGCTGCACCGGACGCTAGGAAGAGCAAAAGCAATCGAGCTGTGGCGCGACAGCAGCGGAGCAGCCTCGCCCTATGGTCGGTCTGGACGATGGAGGGAGGAGAGGAGGAGGCCCACGAGGGGGGTGAGGGTCTACCCAGCATTGGATCAACTGATTAAGAACTATTAGTTTATTCTTCAAATTTGTGACTTAACATCTTGTGTTTCTCATCGACTTTTCATCATAATACGTGTGATTGTATCGTTTTTGCCATAATTTGTTAGTGTAGTATGTGAATGTAGTGCAATGTAAATGTGATGTCTTTTGGTTCAGTTTCTCGTTACAATATATATATATATATATATATATGGCTCCGCCACTCCCTTGGATCACACTGGTGACAGCGTGCTTAGAAAAGACCGGGTACAACTGCGATCAGTTACGCGTCCGACGTTGTTTTAGTGTTCTTCCACATCTGGCTGATCTGGGTCCCGGTGATAAGTCTTGGCCTGTGTAGACAGTGAGTTTTCTCTCTTGGGCTATCAGACCCTAATACTTACTTATTTGATTGATGATGAAAATAGTATACCAGACCTAACAACGGGCGCAAAATCCATAAATTTATGACATGCATGTTTAGAACACGTCAACTAATAATTAACGATAACGATGTCATCGTCAAAGCGCCGCATCTAGCTTCTTGGATGCGGGAGACACCCTTTGATCCTCCATCGCCGACTGCATCCTCGACGGATGATGCCTGTAGGTGTACCTCCACGCGCACAACAGGTAGAGAAGCAAGGCGACGAATCCGAAGAGCGCAAGCAGCCAGTAGAACAAATCGAGGCGGCCGGCGCTGAGGCTGGCGCTGTCCAGCCACCCGGTGCCCCTGCCGTGGCGCGCGGTGACGCGGTTGACCACCCGGATGAGGACGCTCCCGAGCCACGACGCGACGCCGAGGATGCAGAAGAAGACGGCGCCCCCGATGGACTTCATGCCGGCGGAGGCCTTGCTGTAGAAGAACTCGAGCAGGCCGACGAAGGAGGTGACGTCCATGACGCCCAGCAGGAAGAACTGTGGCGTCAGCCAGAACACCGACATCTCGGCGGCCGCGGCAGCGGCGAGCGCCACGACGTTGGACGCGAACCCGACCCCGATCCGCTGCAGGTGCGTGATGCCGCCGGCGTACCCCGTGCCGCGGCGCAGGCACGGCACGACGGCGCGGTCGTACACCACCAGGATCAGCATCTGGAACACGATCGGGATGACGAAAAGGCTCGCCGGCGGCACGTGGGTGCCGCCCAGCCGTGTGTCCATGGTCCCGCCCTGCTGCACCGTGAACGTCAGGAGCAGCGGGATCGGCAGGTAGCCCAGGACGGAGCTCACGAAGACGGGCAGCATCCGGAGGATGATCTTCGCCTCCTCCACTTGCGTCACCGTGCACAGCGGCCACCGCCGCGCGTCGCCGTCGTCCACGGCCGCTTTGTCGAGGAACCTTTTTTTTGAAGAATTAATTACAAGAGGCTATGATTGCATTTATATAAATGTACTTTTTTGTATCTGGAAATTTTTATTTATATTGTGAAACAGAAGGGAGAGTACTCTTCGACGTGGGGTTCTGGCAGACATGGATGGAGATAAGCCCACTTACTTGAAACCTGAAGTTCTCTGGCACTTCGATGCTGCAGCCTGTTCGTTTGGCTTGTGCTTGTCGTATACGATCGTAAATTTTTAGCTGGAACAGTATTTTTCTCTCATACAAACCAGCCAGCAGTACTTCTTCACGAACCAGCAACAATACGAATCAGCCAACCGAACAGGCTGCTAGTGGTCTCGTGCATCCCAACCAAATCCTCAGGCACTGAAAGATTCCTCTTCTTAAAAGCTGCCACAAAAACTTGTGGTTCACACAAAAATTGATCACCAAATTTCACAATATATTTTCATAGAAAAAATAGCACAATATTTTCCATAGAAAATAGAGCAAACACTTTCAGTCATAGTTTTAAATCTCCCCGCTGTAGCCTTTTGAGGTAGGGTGCGGCTATTTGTGTTCACGTACAATTTAGCCGCTATATCCGCTATAGCCCGATATAGCTTCGCTATTAGCTATTTTAAAAATATACCGCTAAACATTTTAGCCCGCTATTTAAAACACTGTTTCAGTATAGTTGAAAATCTTGGTAACTTTCCAAACGGAGATAATCAACGTCTATATGATGTCTACCTGAAGCATTCTTGTGAGGGGGCTCCCAGTGGGCTTCTGGTGGCGGTAGAAAGGCAGGCCGGCGACGAGGACGAGGGTGCCGAGGAGCGCGACGAGCGCGGACAGCACGAAGCCGAGGTCCCAGCCCTCGTTGTTCTGCACCCACACCACGAACACCAGCCCCACGAATCCGCCCAGCGAGATGCAGAAGGCGTACCAGTTGAAGAAGCTGGCCTTGCCGCGGAGCTCCCGCGGGTCGTCGCCATCGAACTGGTCGCCGCCCAGCGCCGCCGCGCATACCCGCACGGCGCCCTCGCCAATCCGGATCACGTACAGGCCCAGCGTCAGCAGGCTCAGGTTCCGGCCGCTCACCGTCGTGCACTCGCTGGGGTGGTTCACGATGTCGCACGGTGGCGGGTGCAGCGACGGGAAGTGAGCTTGGCATGCTAGCAGCATGTAACCACCCTAGCCTATCCATGGCAAGAGTTCAAGTATATTTTTGTGCTACTGACTGAGGTACGTATACGTACGTACTCACCACAATCTCGATGGGTGCGAATTTGAGGATGGTGTAGAAACGTTTGACGTAGGAGTCGGAGATAAAAGCATCAAAGAAGGTGAAGACGCAGATTGCACCGAAGAAGTTAGTGGCAGTGGTGGAGGCGTCGGCGATGCCCATATGCATCTTGCCATGCAGGTAGCTCACCACGTTCAACAGCATCGGGATGTTTCCAATGTTCGTCATCACAACCAGGACTGCAAATTAAACACAGTGGAAGAATCACCAGTTCACCACTATACCTTTGCATTGATTTATTCATACCCATCTTCAAATTGTTGTAAAATGATGATCACACACACTGTTCAAGATTCGTTTCAGCAACGAGAGAACAATTTTTCCCGGTCACCTTTAGAAAATATAACTTAACTTGATTCTTACCATTGATTTTTTTTACTATATATACCTGGCGATATTCGTTGTAAAACCAAAAGGAGATGGTTCATTTCTTACTTACAGTAGATGAACATGGTGGCTTTTACGCCACCTTGCCTTTGGGGGTTAACCGGCCGTCCCTTCCAGTCTACAAGGCATTGCAAAGCCATGGCTCCTGCAGCTATTGCTCAGAACACCTATCGCAAGCCAACAAATTCACTTCACTTGACCAACGACGTTTCTTGGGTTTTCTGTGTCACTCTCCTTATGGTCTCTGCCAGCAACTAATGCTTTTTATAGCCATGGAATGTGAGCAACCCATTCAATTTTTTTGTGGACATAAGGGCAGCTAGTAGGTAAACAAAACTAGTGCAGGTTGTCTCCATGACCATGACTTGTTCGATTACTAAATAATATTTGTAAGATTGTAATCTCAAAAGGTGATTGTGAGGGCACTTTCACTGAATCACAGCCTCACAGGATTGATTTGATACCATGGAGCACTACTTTGTCATATCTAGATAGTAAGATGTGAACTAAGATGCGTTTACTTCATTATGTTTTTTTAACCTACCTGCAGGTTGGGCTTAATTAGCATCCTTGGCCCGCACTATAGCTCGCCAACGCTCCTACCTCCTAATAATGGTCGCATTAGGGTTCTCATTAAGTTAATGCCATGCATGGTGTATGACTTTTTCTCATCTTTTATTTGTCTTGTGAAGTTGTGAACTATGAAGGACCTTGTATGGGTGTATAAACAGAAGAAGCCTACAGGTGAAGAGGGGCATTACATTAGAGAAAAGATTATGGGTACCGCACATGAAAGTATAATAGTTCTCCTATCATCAAGACAACAAGCAAGGTAAGAAGAAAGAGGGGGAGAGAAACATTTTCAAGATGCAAAAAGCGAACATGGCGAAATGTGGGTTTGTGCTATATTTAGCACACGAACGGTTTATTTGTGCCACACACATCAAAAATGTCTATTTTGGTTAAATCAATTTGTGCTAACACGCACTACTACAAAAATGATTTTTCCGAGACACGCCACTTTTATTTTCTGAGGCGGACACAATGGTTGTGTCTCGTAAAATACCCGACTATTAACGGAGGCGGTCATTTTATTTACCAAGGCACCCGAAAGATGACTGCCTCGCAAAATCGATTTACGGAGGCGGTCGTTTTATTTACGGAGGCGGTCAAGAAGTTTTCGCCTTCAAAAATGGAATTACGGAGATGGTAAAAATATCCACCTCGGTAAATCATTTATGGAGGCGGACATTTGTAAGGCGCTCACGTCCATAAATCAGGCCCAGCCCGCTAACCATGGCAGCCCATTACTGTCTTCATGTATATATATGCGACTTAGAGTTTCGGACCACACACCACATGACCTTTCCCTTCACCACAGCCGCACACCACCTCTCTCTCCTCTGGAGCACCTCCTCCTCCTCCGTCTCTCTCTCTCTCTCTCACCGGTGGCCGCTCGCGCAGGGCTCTCTCTCTCCCTCACCGGCGGCCACTCTCTCTCTCTCTCTCTCTCTCTCTCTCGCACAGGGCCTTCTCCGACGGCCGCTCGCGTGGAGGCTTGGCGCACGGGAACCATGGCGGAAGAGCGCCATACGGGTTCCTTGCGGAGGAGCGGCGCGCGGGAGCCCCGGCGGCAGCTCGGCACGCGGGAACCCTGGAGGAGCGGCGCGGGGGGACCTATCTGCAGCGTGGGGCCTCTGGTGGCGGCGTGGGCAAGGTGGCCTCCACCTGGCAAGGGCGGCCCCGATGCATGGATCCGGTGGTGGTGGGCGGCCCTGACATGTGGATCCGGTGGACGGCGGTCCCGACATGCGGTCCGGTGGAGGGCGGCCCCGACCGTGGATCCGGCGGTGGAAGGCGGCGCCGACGCGTGGATCCGGTGGATGGCAGCCCCGATGCGTGGATTCGGTGGACGGCGGCCCCGACGAGCAGAGGGTGGCCCCAACGAGCGGCGGCATGCACGCGCGGATCTGGCAGCGATCACTACCAAAATGGTGGAATTCTCCTAGTGTTTTTAAGTAGTAATAATAAAAACACTACCACTAGTAATAGCACATGGGAATCTCACTGGAAGGCATTTGGTAGATAAAATTTATACTAAATTTTGAATGGTAAAACACTAGAAAAACCCCACCTCACTAGAAGAAAATTAATATTATGGTTGTGGATGACAGTGGGCTTGGCGGGCACATCGATGGGCTCATCGACGGGCTCACCATTTTTTATTTTTTTAATTGATTTTCACAGATGATTCGATGTAGGCGGACCGTTTGCCCACACCGCCTCGCAAAAGAATACTATAGTAGTGACGATTCTTTAAGCTTCCGTGAACTGTTCTAGCTTACATGGGAGGGATACCCAATTGGTTTTGAAAAATGGTTACAAACTCATTGTGATGACCATTTCTCCAGTACTTGTCCGCTGACACAATTGCTTAAAGGCATTTGTGTTGTGAAATATTATGCCAGCAGTGGTTACCTAAAATTACTATTTGCTGAAACTGTGTTCTTCAGTAGTATGGACGAACTCTATATAGTTTATTGAATTTGCTATATAATATAGAAAAAATGCAGTAAAAGGTGGTCAAAATTGAGCCAATTAAAGAATTGCTTTGTGAAATGACAATAGTGCAACCTTCATCATTATCATTGAATGATCACATGTCCAGATTATATCTTTTCAAGACTTATCCAGTATATATGTGTTGCGATCCTCCTTCTATGGCTGTTATGCCATCACTTGTCTTTTTTTCTGGAAAGCGACTTGACACCATTTATAGGACCTCAGGATAGTATACGTCCTACTAACTTTATGAGCAACTGTTTATCAATTTGCAATTGTTTTTCACTGAAACTATACCATTGAAAGTAAATGGTTGTGAGTGCAGACTTGGCTAGTATTAGCTCATATATCGGGTAGGTGAACGAACATGCGAGACTTGTTAACTACGCCCTCCATTCTAAATTACTAGTTATTTGGCTTCTATAGATAATTTTTATTATGTATTTAGATATATTGTATATCTAGTATATAGTCAAGATGACTTATAGTAGGTATGTACGCCTGCTTAGTGACAACAGGTGATATATATACACCATTGTAGATCGAGCGGAGGTAGAGCAAATTGGACAGGGTACACTTATATTGTAGGTAGATGGATATATACCACATTTTCTCATCTAAATCTTTTAATCATGCACCATCGTAGTAGAAACAATAAATTTTATCAGCAATACTAATAAACTTAGTAACAATAAGTTTCATTTCTATGAGTACACGCATTTGAGTCTATTTATATTCATTAGCACTAAACATTAGTAACTAAAATTAGCAGTGGATCCAAACCGACTTACTAATAAACTTCTTAATTATTAGTTATGAGCTGCTAACTATTGGTTCCATTAGAGTTTGGAGTTGCTAATATGTGCTAATATATGCACCTTCAACTCACTATCAAACCACCTATTAACAGGTTAATCTATATGGCCTCCTACTAAAAACTAGCTAGCTAGCTCAAAAATAGCAGTTATTATCTATTAGCTAGCTAATTTTTAGTGCTAATGATGAATCTAAATATGCCTTAATTTAATCACGGATCCACATTACAAGAAGCCTTGTGAGTCGATCAGTTAATTTCTAGCTTATGCAGAAGACGTGGATGCGTCTGTGTGGTGGTGGCGTGAGTACCGTATTCTGAGTGTGTACGCAGTGCAGTGTGCTTTTAGTATAAATTCTTAGAAAGAACATAAATTATTCTTAAATTAGCCTCATTAATGGGTAATTCCACTTGTTTCCCGAACTAAATCTTCACTGATCAGTTAAAAGTTACAAGACTTTTTTTTTGTGGCGAACCACCGCAGTGTGGCGTGGCCGGTGGCCCAAGAGCGCACTTCACCTGAACAGGAAATGGTGCTGTGTAGCTAATCAGACTAGTCCCTAAATGTCTCATTGTTCTCTGCACTATAACCCACTACCGGTGGAGGGAAGTATCACAAGTATCTTTATTTGCTTGGCCCGCATCTAGAGATTATTGGACATATGCTGTCCTGATAATGCTACTTTTTAGTAGGAAGAGTACATCATCATATTGACTTTCATTTGCTAGCAAAAAGCTAAGGTAAGATAATCCTTAACAAAGAATAATACTCGTCCCTTTGGCATTATCCACGCACAGGTTCTGAGTTGGAGAACACACAAGATGTCCTCTACATGCCGTAATCCATGGGTTGTTCACAAACGAGTGATGTCCGTGAGCTATATGACACATCACCGTCAGTGACCTCAGTTGCTAGTGCTGTTTAATTGGACAGGGAAATAACAGAGTGCAATATATATACGTGCGGTAATTGCTGTATGGATAGTGCTTTGTTTGGCCACTCAAATAGCGGAGGACAAAGAGGACCAAATGTACCTATCTCTATCTGTGTGTAATCACCCTCGACGATGACTTCTTCGAGGTAGGTAACTGTTGAGCTTAGACCCTGCACTCAGCCCCATTCGCGGGGGTTTTTTTTTTTTTTGACAACAGCCCCATTCGCGGTTGGTATACTGGTATCAGGTCAACTGACCGCTCGATCCGGATAGCAACAAAGTGAGCCTGTAGACATACAGAAACACCCGCACTATTGTTACATTTTGTGGTCCTCAGGTTCTGTTTTGCCTGAATTTATTTAAACATATTTTTCCATATCTCACAATTCAAAACCTCTACAAATTGTTGGATTTAATTGGAATTGACCAATTTCATTTAGCAATTAATCGAAAGGAAATTTCAAGGCTAGGATTGATGCTAGGTGAAATTCATGATGTGTCAGTAGCCATTAGAGGGATGATTTAAGGTGGGTTAGTGGTTGATTAGTGAGTTACTAGTAACGAACAACTACTAGTAATAAATATGGTCGTCATTATCAACCAGGTTGATTATTGGGTTACGTATATAATGGAAAATTGATTTGTCGGTTATAGAGGCCTCCAGTTCACGACTTTTCTGCTTTCTTCGCCATCGCATCCTCTGTCCGATTTGTTTCAATTCATCGATATATAACTCGTCTGGCTCCCGGCTGTAGAACAAGCGAGAGAAGATACGTTCTGTTTTCCTGTGCGTTGCAGGGCTCCAAACTCCAAAGCATGGGAAATCAAG